AAATATATTGGCAGAAATCAGAATGTTACATAATTATCAATTACTAATTGATGAACTTAGGTTTTAGTTGAATATGTATAACATTGAATATATCAATACGCTGAATGTCTTTTAATACACCTGATATCACAAAACAATCTAAATTATTTTTTAGGTTCCAATAGCAAAAATAACACTTCATTATTACAATGGAAGTAATATAAGTCAGAAACATTAGTTTAAAAACTTAACTTCTGTATTTCCTGAGTTTTGGAGCATTTGTCAATACAACCTGAATTTCTGTCAATGCAGACTTTTTTTTTTTTAATGCAGAATTCATTATCGTACTCATTACTTGCCTCTCCGTGTCTTGTTAGGCTATTATTTATACCATCTGTGGTACGTGCTCTGCACAGAACCAGTAAGTTAGGCAACTTTATTTTGTTGATGAATAGCAGAGAGGATTTACTAAATAGGTTAAGGTACGACCTGAGACACAGGATATGTTAGATATACTTGGTTTGTGAAGTGTGTTTTCATTTTTACACTCAAATACCATAGAATATCACTAGTGGTCTTTGGATTTTATTAATAACATCTAATAAGAAAAAAGATCATGATTATGTCGGATAAGACCATAAACATGACTGATTTAAAAATAGATTTAAATTATGCATTCAAAATATATTTATGGACTTTTTCTTATATTATCAGAATTATGATTACCTTAAAACCAAAGAATAGTTGTGTTAATTAAGGGTGTGCACTGATGACTATCACTGATTTTTAAGTAAATGTAATATTAAGTCATGACCAAAATCCAAACCCTACAATTCAAGCACAATACTACTGCCATTTTCATAAGCTCCTCTTATTTATTACTGAAAACAGTAGACATTTTGACATAATTATAAGGTGTGGATATCATTATACATTTTCTGTTAGAGGGGAAAAACATATAACAACGGCACTGTAGATTGGAATAGGAAATATTATGTGAGACCAATTAAAATAGCTTCCCAACACACTCTGAGTAGGCTTATTTAAAGTAATTTATATTAATAAATTGATTGGGTAACATTGAGAGTTGGTGTAAGTTTAATGCTGAGGGGCACACAAGTAAAGTCCACTGATAAGAGAAAATGACTTTATTGAAATAAGTGAAACAAGCAAGATTAGTCTCTTTGTTGAAATGATAATGTATTTCTTTTACTGTGGAACACTTGAATTTTACTAATATTTGATTATATAAACAGCGGATCTAAAGGCTTGTCTATCATCTGCCCAGCCACCTAGTCTATGTCCAACTACAGTTGTGATGGATATCAATAATCCTCAGGAGTTTATAAGCTGTTATTGTGATTTAGCTAACAGGTGGTCAGGAAACATAAAATTCTGTCAGGTGAGCATTCTGACACATGAAGTCAAGTCAAATAAGAGAAGCTGCTCCATGAAGAAAATGCGTATTTTACAATTAATTATAATTTGCCACTATGATTAAAAATGGGCATGACTCCCCTTCAAACATGATCCTGGAACAATGGTTCAAGACAATGAGTGGTTCCAAATCTAGAAACTATGCAATGACTCAAAGACATTCCTTGGCCTTTCAACAATATATTAAAATAGGTGAATCAATTGTTTTTCTTTAATTATGTCTAATTGTTTAATGACAAGTCATTACCAATGAAAATGATGAAATATATTAATGACACTGATTTTTGAGTGCTCATTAACACTAGAAACTTATTCTGGATCGAAGCAGACTATTAATTATAAGAGCTATTTTTAAGCAATTCTACCTGTGACTCTGCCTATTTCAGAAATCAATGTGACTTTACAAGGACATGAAACCGCTTTCAGCTATTTCTGAATAACTCCATCAGTAAACAAGCCATTTTAGCCTACCTTCTACTTTGACAGATTTTCCAAGAAACAAATTTGGTCAATAAAATCAAAATGTTCTTTTTAAAAGTTAAAAAAGTCACAGCCAACAAATACAATATAACTTCTAAACAACTCCCTAGTTTCCTGTCTTGTCTTTCTCCTCCTCCCACAGATCCAGCTTGCAAGATGCTGACCAGTAATGAGGTACACTGCACATCCATCACATCCACTGTCTCGGGAGCAGGTGAGAGCACACAGGCTTTGGCAAGACCGTGTTCAAACTATGGATATAAAACTTAAAAACCAAGAGGAAGGCAAACGTATATGATGAGAAATTATCATTCCTAATACAGTTCCTGGCTTCTATCCTGCTGTAAGTAGGCTGAAGAAACAGTAAAACAGTGAACACCAAAACCAGTGAACACCCAGGCTACAGATTGTTCCCTGGAAGAGAAGCAGTCAAACAGAACAGCTTTTTCATAGGAGTAGCTTATGATTGTGTTACATAGCGACTTATGAGAAAGACTGAAATTTGTTGGAAGGAATATTGTGCTATTGCTCCCTCAGGAACCAGTCATTATTGTGCCGTTGGCCTGCTTCACTACCACATATATTTTATACCTACTAACTCTCGTGGCGTCCCTCAACATTAAATTTATGCCAACTCTGAATGTTAGCCAATCAATTTATTTATATAATTTACTTTAGATAAGTCTATTCTTAATGTGCTGCAAGGCTCCTTTAATTGGTCTCACATAATATTTCCTGTTTCAATCTACAGTGCTGCTGTTGTACATTTTCCCCCATAACATATGAGATTTGCACCTTATAAAAATATCAAAATGTCCACTGTTTCCAATAACAAGTAGATTTTACCTTCTCAAACTCAGATACAAAATTAAAAGGGGAAAGGGAACAAATATTACGAAGAACACAAAAGAAATAAAAGCAGGGATGATTGCAATTATTGTACATTAGAATTTACTCCACATTTTCCATTTAATTTAACTGTTTTATATAAGAGTACTAGCTCTACAGCTTAGTATGAAAGACACAAAAGCAGCAGAGGGAGAAAAGCAGTATTTTAAATTCATTAAAATCAGAAGAAGATTGGTTATCATACATATAAACATGTTTAGCTCTATAAAATAAGCAGTCAATATTACTGATCTTGAATACATGAAAAGAGATTTTCAGATTCTGCAGCTCTAGTAGTTTTCAAGAAACTTTCAAGAAAAGGTCCAAGGAAAACCCTGTCATTGGCCTCATTTGGCTTAGGAGAGAGACAGAATTACGATGCCATTGCCTTATTCAAGGTAGACAAACTAAAATAAATGAGACAAGTGAATATTATTATGGTAGGCAGAATTTTAAAATAAAATATGGGAAACGTACTAGAAACCCAAAAATTGGGACCTTGAACCCAACCCAGTTTCTGTTTTCTTCAGAGACATGATCAAATTTTAAACACAAAAAGTATCTTTACAATATCTACCATTAAGACAACTGTATTTATTGTATTTTTTAATTTCAATAGAAAAAGGTTGCTGCTTTTCATGTACTTAAACATAGTCCTGCGATATTTTGCAACTAGAAACACTGCAGTCACGCACAAGGGGTAACTAGAAAGTGCAAACCATTAAAAACAAAACCTGAAACCAATTCATTCAGTAACTGGCAAAGTGAAACAGGAAAGCAAACAAACAGCATCAATTGTGAAAATACACAAAAATATTAAATATTAAATTGGTTAATGCTTTAGTCATCTGAGGTATATAAGCAACACAGATAGGTTTTTTTAAAGAATATATGACTTTAATTGGTTTTGTCCCTTTAATGATAAATTTACAGTGAAAATGACATGTCTACCATAATTTTGAAATACAATGTAGATACCACCAATTTCCTGCAAATGCCTTTGCATTATATTTGTTTGTGGCAGAGGCGCAAATTTGACAAAAATAAATTCTTATACACATCCACTCTTTGGGGATTAATAGCAAATTAAATATATTAAATTAAATAAATTAAGATTAAAATTCTACAAAATAAACAGTCGTTCTGGATCTCCTCAAACAAGATTTTCCTCAGCACACTAATACACCAACCTTCATAAAAAAATCCACAAAAACCCAGCCAAACAAGCAAACAAAAAAAGCACCCTTCAACCAAAAAAAAAAAAACCAACAAACAATACCCCCCCAAAAAAAAAACCTTAAAAAACTGAAGAAACAAGATCTGTTTATTGAGAATGAGGCAAAAGGATACAACTGATGTTTGCCTGATATTTTACCTCTTGTTGATTTGGATAATAACTTTTACCAACCTTCAATATTGATGTCAGTCCACCCCCACAACTTTGATGCCATTTGTTTTGGGAAGAGCACACATAGCTAATAAATGCATGGCACCCATTCAATTGCTGGAGCATTTGTGGATCCTCTGAGGCCCCTCTCCCCAAGACTGTCAAAGATGCTAGTGTCAACTCCTCCGATACTTGCCATGGACAGCTCAAGTGGAGATGGTTTTATTTGATTTGGAAGAGGAAGAGTTTGCTCTGACATCTCTCTGTGCTCCTACAATGTGCACTCAAGCATTAGTGGACAAATACATCAAATAAATATCACATAAAAGCACCCAAAATATGCTTGATAATGCAAAGAAAGGATATATTTTAGGGTATGGTCAGAGAAGATATTCAAAGCCTCCACTGTTGCTTCTAGAAATGTCAGGACAATTCAGAAATGTCAGTTCCTTTACCAGTTTCCAGATTGTAATTGAAGGATCATGTAGCTCTTTTGCTCTTTCTCTCTCTTTCTCTCTCTCTAAATAGGTCTATAAAGATCAGCTGGAAAGTGCAGATAGAATTGTTCACTGGTTAGCTTTACTTAGAGCTACAAGGTATATATGTGCTTTCTTTTGTCTTATTGATCAATCTAGCTTACATTTTTAGCACACACAAACAAAAAACAGAAAAAATAAAAAGTCGATGAAAAACACGAACAACACAAATAAGGTTCCAATCGTGCAAATTTTGCTTCACCGGATAAAGCACTTCTTGACACAGTAATGTCCAGAATCTCCCTCCCCCAGAAAAATACAGGACTGAGACTGAAGCCATTCTTTTTTTTCCCCTTTTTTCTTTTTTTTTTTCTTAAGGCTATACAACACAAAGAAATAAATAATGGAAAGAACATTTCATTGGGCTGAACACTCCATTCTTCTGGCTCTGGAGCAAGCCTTTGACAAAGTGATTCTGTGGTCCAAGTTATTTGTCTCATTGGGACAACAAGAAAAAGAGGAAAAAATGAAAGAGAAGGAAAAAATGAAAAAGAATAAAAAAGTCAATGATCCCAACAATAAAATCCAAAATTGACTTTACAATCACAGGTACAAATTGCTCAGGTCGATAATTTCATTTCTCCTAAAGATCACTGTCGTCTAAAACTAATTAGAGGCGCAGGTTCCCAAGGAATTGTCAATATTCAAAGCAAATGTTGGAGTTTGGAAGGTTATCGTTCTTCTACTGTGACAGTCTGACAGGGTGACTGAAAATATCGTCATGTGCTGCCAAGTTCAGGGTGTCATTAACGATTGAATCCTTGCTCCAGCTCATGGATCTGTCTCCTATTTGGCCTTTTATAGTGGAAAGACTAAAAAGCCAGAAAAGGTTGAATATTTCCACCCTCCCATGAGGTTTCCCCTTTCCAGTTTGAGATGCACTTTGTCTTCTCTTTCCATGAGGAGCAAGACCCCATTGCTGGCTGCTTCTCTGGTGACGTCCTGATCCCCTGCAAAAGCTGAAATCACTGGGTAGCCGTTTTGCATTAAACTTACCTAAAAAGTGCAAAGAGACACAATCTGAGTTTTGAGAAAACTCTCAATGCCTTTTTTGCTTTGTGCACATCACTGAACTTTTGTGCAGGTTAGAATCAGTTGAATCAAGTTAAGGTAATGTGTGATTTCTGTCATGCATACAGACCTCTTTAAAAATTACATGCAGTTTCATTCTCCAACTGCTGTTTTGGTAAATGTGTGGCTAGAAATGAGCATTTGAAAAAAAAAAAAAAAAGAAAGCATCGTTTTAGATCAGAACCCACCTGGATGGTTTGTCTGTTATAGACCTTGACCACGTGGAAACTGAAACTATATATCCCTTTTCTTGGTGCTACAAATATACTGGAAGCAAGATCAAAATGGTTGCCAATATTAACTAATACCTGGAAAGTAAACAAATAAACAAAATAAAAAAAAGGAGAGAGAGAGAAAGATAAATCTGAGAAAACAGATTCCACCTGAGAAAAGCACCAGTGAAAATCTAACATGAGCTAATATGACCGATATAAAGCCTAGGCAAAATGGCATTTGCAGCACAATTAAAAATGTATGTCAGGGGAATGGAGTCAAATTACAGAGGCATTTAAGAGGCATCAGAGTTAATAAAACAATTTAGTTACGCAAAAATGATCTCCAAAGCCTGTTAGATGAAGTGCAAATGTCCACACTGTGCTGTCAATAAAGTAAAGATGGCAGAATGGGGAGGGAGAAGAGTGTGAAATGGAGGTAAGGAGGGAGGGGAAAGAAGCTAGGAAAGAATCCCTAAAGTCATTGACTCAAAATGCACATGTATGCTTTTTAGCTAGCGCTATTGAAAACAGAGCTACCCTCGAGTTTAATAGGGTTAAAAATTGCACTGCAGAGAGGGGCGAAGGAGGAGAGCAGATGCTTAGCACCAGCAACATCTTCCAGCTCGTCTCTCTGTCCCTCTGGAGAGCTGTGTCGCTTTGCCCGCACGCTCCTCAAGGGGCTGGGTGGGCCGTCTCCTCCTTCCCGGCAACAACCTTAATTTTTCATATATTTCAATGTTTTTTGAAACAGAGCAAGAATTGAGGCCTCTGGCAGATGTGCAAAGCCTCGTTCGGAAGGGGCGGCCACATCCTTCCGATCCCGCCGATCTGCCTGGTATCTGGCCTCAGCTCATCCTCTCCTCCTTTTCCAGGCGCCTGTGACAGGCAGCATGATCTGGCTCAAAAGGTGCGGGCGGTGAGAAGAACCCACGGGTCCGTGGCGATGCCGTGCGATGAGTGGGTGAGCCCGAGCCGGCTGCTCCGCCGTGCCCGCCCCCAGGGCAGCCCGGCCACGCTCAGCTTTGAGGGTTACAACCTCTGGGTTAATGAAGAAAAATACAAAGCAAGAGAAAATAAGTAACCTCCACCCGCCTCCCCCCAAGTCCCGAGCCTTTCCTTCCAAACAGTCAAACTCTAAAGTTTCCAAAAAAAGGAACAAAAAGTAAAA